CGCTTGAACACTTTTTCATATCTCTTTCTTTCATAATCTCTTTTCTCAAATGCAAGGAGAATATGACTAGTAAAGGCTGTATACATAAGTTTTATGCCAAATTAAGCTCCTTGTCTAGCCATGAAGTGATTACTGATTTTTAATTACACAGCTGGAGACATTTGAAAGTCATCTTGCGATATTCAGGAGGTACTGAGCATTCTTTCAAAGCAGCTAATCCTTGGTCATAAAAATAATACTGCTTTGAAAACTTAAACTGTTGTCTATTGTCTGCACACAGAGGAAAATTTTAGTTTTTGTACCTTGGTGATTTCAAACTGGACCCTGAATATACTCTGTACTCTATTTCTGAAAAGACTCAATGTGCTGAGACCTTCCTATAAGATGGCTGAAGTAAAAATAGCATGACAGAAAATTGTTGGACATCTGTCACCAAAGTGAAACACAGAACCAGGCCAGTAACACAGGGAAATCCACCACTTGAACCTGTGCTGTTTCTTGAAGATGAGAGCAGATGAACAGCATGTGTTATAGCAATTCATATTTGAGGGTTACTCAAAAGGTGTTACTCATAAAGTGCAAAGAGATGCAAATGCCCAGAGGAAATGTAATTGGGTTTGGGTTTTTATTTGGTTTTTGGTTTTTTTTTTTTGGTTTGGTTTGTCTTCTTCTAGGTTTGAGTCTGATTTTTGCTTTACTTAACACCTTAAAATTTTTATGAAGGTTGTCTAAGGCATAGAATGAAAAAATTCTGAGTGTGGTGGAGTTATAGCCCTGGTGGCAGAGGGCCACAGAGATAATTAAGGGACTGGAGCATCTTTCATTTGAGGAGAGGCAGCAAGAGTTGGGACTGTTCAGCCTGGAGAAGGGAAGGGACAAGGAGATTTTATCAATGTGTATAAATACCTGAGGAGAGGGGAGTGAAGAAGAAAGACAGGCTCCTCTCATGGTGGCACTAGAGGCAATAGGCACAAATTAAAATGCATGAAATCCCATCTGAAACCAATAAGACAGTTTTTTACTGTGAGGGTGTCAAAACATTGGCACGTGTTGCCCAGAGAGGTTGTGGAGTCCCATCTTCAGAGATATTCAAAATCTGACAGGACACAGTGCCAGGCAACTGGCTCTAGGTGGCCCTGCTTGAGTGGGAGGGTTGGACAAGATGACCTGCAGACGTCCCTTTCAGGCCTTTGTTGCCCTTTAACAAAAGTAGTTAGAGGCACCCAGACAGGCTATCCTACAGGGATGCCCCTATCCTATAGTGCGGGTGTGTCATGGGAACAAGCGTAGTGATTTTGTAGTTAGGGATGAGAAAGGCACCAGACTGACATTCAGTCCTAGGCATCCGATGTTTTTAGCTTTCTTTACATCATCACAATTTTGGCTATGGAGGGCATCTTCCTATCCAGAGCGGTGTATGTACAATATTTAAGCAGGAGTTGCTAGTACCATCTGTTTGTGTTATTCTGCTGTTCCCTGCCTTTTATGACTGTTGCAGCTGATGACAGTGAATCATTGGGTGCTTGTGTGCTGAGTTTGCATGGGTAATTTAGGCATCCATGTCTGAAAAATAGGCTCATAATAGTTCAGTAACTGTACAAAATCCACAGCTGCTCCAAAGTTTCCTATTATAATAACAGAAAGTCACAAGAAACAGTGTTTAAACACCAGTGGGTATTTTGTGCATACCTATGTACCTATGTTCATTGCAACCATGTTCAGATAATTGCAGAATCAATTTTGGATGCTAGGAGCTGCTCTGCTCCAAACTTCTCTCTCCAATGGAGGCACTAGGATATCTCGATTTTTTCATGTCCTACAGTAGTATTGTCACCATCAGTTTTTGGAAATTCTCACTAGACTTCATTGTTACTCATCAGATTAGCACAAATCCTGCAGCTCTCCATGTAGACCTATTATTTTTCAGAAGACGAAACAGAATAAGGGAACAAAGGAAATAGAAGAGAATAGTTTTAAGAGCCAGCATAACATTAGCAGCAGCCAAGTAAATATGAGTAACGTTTATAGGAAGTACACGACTAACTAGTTTCCTAGTTGTACTAACAGGAAATAAAATAAACAGAAAATGTGAAAGGTGAGAAGATTCAGAAGTAAGAAACTAGATGAGGCTTTTTATGGATGGAGATCAGAAAGTTTTTCAAAGGCAAAACAACCAGTAGATATGATTGTTATCTTAAATGGATTAACGGAACTTTGCAGCAGTGGAAGATACATCCGTTTATTCTACGTAGATCAGAAGAATTTAATATTAATAATATTTACTGAACTCATATAGATCAAGGCAATTCCATGGTTCACAATAAGGCGAAGAGAGGATCTTCTCCAGGCTGGTGGTCTCATGCACTCAAGTGGAGCTTAGGTCACACAAAACCTTCTTGGAAACTTGGTCCCTAGCCAAGGTGAAACAGGCAAGATTTTATTCTCTAAAAAGTTGGCTACTCTGTCAGTTTTTCTTACTCTGTTTCCTTAGTTATTTTCTCTCTTTCATTCTCATGATCACAAACTTTACACATTTTGTATTGATGTAACACATGAACTTTTCATGTGTTACCAGTATTCTATTATTCCTTAAGTATTCTTTGATACTGTACATCTAAAATGTTCTGCATGGAGAGAGCACATTTCCTTTGGGGTAGGCTTCTTGAACTCCTATGGTTCCTAGCCTAGGTCTGGAAGTCAATGTGCTGTATGATGTGTTGCTGTTCTCAGACTGACTCTAGACATATCAGTTCCACTGCCCATACAAAGCTTTGGGGGTCTTTTCTGTCTTCATTGCTAAAAAGGCTGGAGTCCTTGAATTAATTTCTTCCTTCACTTCATATAACTTTGAAATACTGAATGATACTGGTTCTTTGGCATTCTACATTATTTATACCATAATTACATCTGAGTGCCAAACTGGCAGTAAAATCCAGTGTACAAAGTGCTACACAAGACCCCGAAAGAAAAGACTATCTTTGTTCTGAATAAGTAACAGATGAGAAAGTTAAAGAATATTGGCTATTCTCTGACTAGTAATTAAGTCAGCATATCAAAAAAGGTGGAAGTGTAACTGATTTTACAGGATTAGATATTAAATGGTACCCACCATCATTCTATGACAGGAAAGATAGGAAAGCTCTATTTCAATTTTTTTTTTAAATTTATTTTTTAAATATGGCTACCGTACATCTGCATCCATCTGCCTCCTTTTACACCAATAAGTTAAAAAGTTAGCCAATTCAGTAAGATGTCTGCTGGTTCATGTGCAGGGTTCTCTGGAGCCCAACGCAACAGTGTCAATGTTACAGACCCCTAATCACTGTGACAGGAGCTCACAGAACAGACAAAATGAAACCTGTGGGTTCAAGGGTTTTCCAGCAAGATCAGAACTTTCAGAGATGTTGAAATTTATCGATTTTCTTGTGAAAAGCCATTACAGACTGGCTACATGACCCATTTATTCCATTTAGTTGACCAGGGACTATCAGACATTGGGAAACGCAAAGCAGTTTTGCATTCTGACTCTACTCTTGCTATCATCTGAGATCCTCTTCTAGGAACAAGCTAGGAATAAGTGGCTGACCCGCTGTCCACGTACCTTGTACGCTGAGGCTTAGTGCAACTCATCTGGCAAGCCTGACAGCTTTTAGAGAATTTAAGTACAGACCACAGTTCAAATGAGCACTAAAATGCGCATTGGGTCTCAGGTCTCCATCAACTCCACTTTCCAAAAGTCTAAGCTCTCCTCCCCTGATTGATTAGCTTTGTCTCTGGACCCCATCAGCACTTCAGTGCTGGTGAAGCTACTGGGATGTATGGATTGTCCTGGGGAAAAATGCATTTCCCAGAGCAGTTACAGATGGATCCTTGAAGCTGGATGTGAGTCCAGCTTGGTCTGGTATCTGCGTTTGTTTCTGTAAATGTTCAGTGGCCATTTACGGTGGGATCAAGGCTGGATGAATTATCAGGCTCACTTGAGATAAGCTCATCTAACATTCCAGATCAGGTTGGACAGGGCTCTGAGCAACCTGATGTAGTTGAAGATGTCCCAGCTCATTGCAGAAGGGTTGGACTAGATGACATTTAAAGGTTCCTTCCAACCCAAGCTGTTCTATGGTTCTGTGATTCTATGATTCTTTGATTCTATGACTTGGCCTTTTTCAGAAACAGGAGACACAGTCTGCCCAATCTCAGTTTGAGCGACTTTGTGTAAGAGTGACCATCTGGTTCCATGGTTTTACTTTTACCACCTCCATGGTGGGTATACTGAGACCTTGCACATTATTTCTGTTCATGAGGCAACTTCATAGCTAGACATGCCCCAGTCCTTGAACAGAGCCCTCCCTGGAGCCTTCCCTTGTACACTAAACAGCCTTCTGCTTCTATTGGAGCAGATCAAAACAGGAAACAAACTTATTTGCTACTAACTACTGTACCCCTGTAACGAAACACTTCTCAGAGACTGGACAGTGAAGTTTTCATGGCAGTGCAGTCCATCTTCCTTATAGATAACTGATTTTCTAGTGCTTCTTAGGGTTATTGCCTTTCAGAAAAGTGCTGCCATAAGGCTTTGTGGAAAAATAAAAAAAAACAATTTCACACATTCTGTATACTTTGTTATGAAACCAAACTAACCACCTCAACTACTTTTTCCTCACTTGACCACCATTTAAATGAAAGAAGACTTCTCACATGAGAGGGAAGTTCTTCTTTCTTGGAAACCTTGACCCTGTTGCCAGTAAATATGGAGATATCGTTTAGAAAAACGTCACAGATGATTGTGGTCAAATTTGTTGAAAGTGGAGCAAGATGTATAAAAAAGCACAGCAACAATACTGATCAGCCAGCATACGAGCAATAGGTTATCTACGTGAGCATCTCAGTGCAGAAGATGCTTTGAGGGTTAACAAAATTAGGTTAACCTCTGTCATCTAACCAGTCTTGCTGTATCACATACGCTGCTGTGACTGTAGAGTCACGAAGATTTGGGAGCGAAGATGAAAGTATATTCTATTTTCAGATCTGGGCGTTTTTTGGTTCTGCTCTGTCTTTTCGCTGTGGAAGGCAAAAAGTCACCTACAGGAAAGCATACCTGCCGAAAAGGACTTCTCTCCCAAGTGACAGAGAACCTGTATATCAAGGCAACTAGTTTAAAATCATCTGTTCCTGTAAGTTGATCCCACTAGTTGAAAAGTTTATTGTATTTATAGATGTTTCTTTACCAGCTTCATTACTGAGCACCTGGAAACTTTAATAATACGAATCATTTCTACAGTCCTGAGAGACAGGGTAATGCTGCTACTCGTTTTGCAAAGATGGGAAAAGAGAAGATGCATAGAGAGTTGGGATTAGTTTGCCAGGGAGTTTGCCATGGAAGAAGTTTGTAGCTAGGTTGGGATTTGAACACAGATTTGCTGAGTCCTTATATTACATCTGAATGAGATGATGATGATTACTATTAAGTTTTGTACAAAACAGACTTAAAACTGTCTCCCTTCCTCTGCTTAGGTTAATTAATACTGGCACATTGCATTTTACAGAAGGATCTCATCAAGAACACAAGACTGCTTAAAAAGACAACAAAAATACTGTTTATGGTAAGATTTATACTACTGGTTTTTCATTTTCTTGCTTTGATTTTATTTTGGTCAGTAGAGATAGGAATGTGTGATCAAAAGGGATGACAGATAACACAAAAATCACTTGTGTTTAACTGGGAAGGACATTATATTTATCAGAGTTGTACATTTAATGAAGTCCTTTGCTTAGAGGAAGAGTGTTATCTCTGCCGCATAGAAAGGGATGCTCTGACTCATTTTCCCCTGGAAATGAGGGGAGAGTTGAGCATGAAACGGGGAGAAAGAGGTGGATTTAGAAAGCCTGGCTGGAAGCACTTCTTCTACGTGGTGCTCTGCCGGGACATTTAGTGTAAGGGTGTTTGCTGTTTGCAGAGGAGGGTGCTTGTGGCAGCACTTGCTCCTCCTGTGTGCATCTGGCTGTCGATGATCCTCCCCAGCAACGCTTTTCAGGCCCCATTCACCTGAGGGCCAGGGCCACAGCCACCATCCCAGCAGCTGAGGCACCTTCTGCTGAGGGTGTGTGGTACTGTGGTTGCCCCAGGGATGCTGCAGAGCAGCTGGGACACCCAAGGAACTGCTTTGGGCTTTGACCTCTGCAGGTGCACTGGAAGAGGGAGATCAGAGATTCAGCATGGGAGTGAGACACAAAACTCGGGGTGCCTATTTGTAAGTGACTACAAGTGTGTGAGATGTTTTAGCTTCCTTAACACAGAGATCTAGGGCCAACTGAGTCAGTTTATCCTTAAGCAGGATACTGGCCTTTGAACTCCCCTGGATCTCATTGATTACCTCGAGAGTGAAGGATCCTCACTTGCCTGTGGGACCTACATATGAACACCTGCATTTGGGTGGCTTGATCTGTAGCTGCATTGCCCTCCTGTTGGGAATTTCACACCTGATACTTGGTTTCATTGCCTAAAAATAGTCATATAGCCATTTGAAATACCTTTGGGTATCCAAGAGATCCAACAGGCCAGGCAGATATGACACAGCGTATAAAGGATGACTGATCTCTTCTGGAGCAGCAGTTAGGGATGAACGGAATACCGTACACCATCTCAAATGGTATGGGACACTGATGTAGAGGAATGAAATAATGACACCCACAATGAATCCTACGATTTGGTCGAGATGGTCTGACTTAACTCCCAGTTTATCTTCCATTTATTCTTTGTGTGTTAAATAGATTTGTTGCTGTCACTTCTGTTCATGGTAGGTCTTACTAATACTGCTTTGGCTGCCAGCACAGCATCCTCCAGCCTTTCCTTCAGAAATCACAGGGGTACAGTGAGCTGTTTAAAGAAACAGGAAAGCAATCCAAATAGATACTAAAATTCATTAAATATTTTTTATTGATTGTATGCTTTCTAAACACGCATACTTTTACAAGGCTGAAGTTTTAGGTTAAAGTTCGCTTGTGAGGTTTTCATTTGGCAACTCTTTACCTGCTTTGTTTTCAGACAAACTGCAGTGTTCGAGATCAGCTTCTCTCCTTCTATGTGAAAAACGTTTTCAGTCATCTTGGAGTAGGAAGTGACAAGTTGTACATTATTAGTGCCTTCCAGGTCCTGCAAGAGAACATGAACACCTGTGTGAGTATATTCCTGGGAGCCAAACTATGTCCAGCTGAAAGGATAGGGAAGGGCTCCATCACAGTTTTTCAGCAGACAGAGAGGGTGATTCAGAGTCATGGTGTGTCCCACATCACAGAGGACCTGACTTCCCAAGGACTTCCCCTCTGGGGCCGGGGAAGTTTAACACCACTCATTTCCTCCCAGAGTGAGCTTTCAGGGAGCAGACAAGGTGGTGGAGATACCATGGAGACAAGCCACTTCCCTGCTGCTGATGTTGCCTTCTGCTGCCCTCTCAGCACCAAAGCTGCAAAGAGAGAGGGTAATCACAGGGAGAAATGTGGCTTTTTATGCTTCCGCGGTGTAACACTGCTAATGCTTTCCTTCTTCAGCAGCCTACCCACTGGATGCGTGTAATCTTTACTCGCTTGTCATCTCTGCTCCACCATACTGAATTTCGAAAGAGCCAGTGGTGTCTCATGAGTAAGCAGAGACCGCAATTATAAAGCACATTGGAGCGGTTTCCATGTGTTGGCTATGCCCGCAGTCAGAGCAGCTGGTCAGGGAATGATGCTACCAACAAAAGGTCCCTAGAGTGGATCCAGCTGTCCCAGGGTGGAGGAACTTTTACCAACACTTTTGTCATCATCCCACTCTGTAAATAACTACAGGACAGCAGTTAAAACACACTTTTGCCCATGCAAACATGCATACTAACATACTGTGATGCTAAGATGACAGTGTCACTTGTAAGTAATTTCTCTTCTTGTCTTAGTTTTAAGGGTAGATGAATAACCACAGGGCGTGCCTCAAAATTTTATGTCCTATGGCTATTTTTTTTCTCTCCTAAACCTGTAGTTCCCACAAGCCACAGTGTCCCCAAAAGTGGAGCGTGACTTATGTTGAAATATAACCATGGACATCCAGTCTATAGTAATTTTAAAAAGCAAGGGCAGCATGAGAACTCAATGAAATATTGAGGAATTAAAACTTTGTCTAATCTGAATTGTATGGTAGCATGACAGTAAAGGACATTGGTTCTACATGCAGACAAATATTTGCAATGCAAAAGTAAGCAGGTTCAGAAGTCTCTTTGCAGAGTTATAGCTCAGAACACAACCGGAATATCTGTAAAATTATTTGTAAAAAGATTCAAATATCAATAGGAGAAAACTCCACTGGCTTTCAGGTTCTGCATTTAAAACCATGCTAAACAGTTGCAATTGACACAGCATTCAACACACTGCTGTGGTTATCTGTGTCTGTCTAAAATTCCAGATATCGTATGCTGTAATATACTTTACAGAGATTTCATTCTTGTCTGGAAAAGCAATTACACCCTATACAAATCCCAGTACATGCTGAAGAGTTCAGACTGTCAACCGTGACTGAATTTAGAATATCAGTTATTCTAAAACACCATCAGTGACTGGAGCTTGCTGTATAACTAATACATTTTCTCTTGTGCTGTATAGAGACAGAGTTCTGCAGATTTCTCAAAGCTTCTTTTTCATAATTAGCGCCAGCGTTTTATCCAACACTTGTCTAAGCATAATAATTTACATTTCTGAATCTTAGAAAATACTGGTAGGAGAGAAAAGGCATCCTCTGGTAGTAGAAAAGCAATAGCTCTTTGTGAAATTATGGCTTGTCACTATTTTCTAGGAAATGAACATTTTTTAAAGTATGTATATCAATTCAAAGCCAACAATAAAACAATGTGAAAGTAATGGAAACTGTGAACAGAATGAAAGTAATGGATCCTTTGCTAATAACAAGTTTGGGGTTTCTCCATTATATTATTCCTCAATAAATGAGCAAACTCATTCATCCATCTACGCAAGCTCTTTAATTTTTATTATCTTGTTGAGTTATAGGACGTTTGTCAGAAGGAACGTCCACCATGGCAACATACTTATGTAATGAATTAGTTACCTTTCAAGGATAAAGTTCTTTACACAATTGAGGGTAACAGTTATAGCTTTATATACATATCTACCCTATGGTCTTTTGTAAACTTGGGCTCTAATTTGGCCAGCTAGAGGCACACATGATATTTAAAACCCCTAACATTTGTCTCCAAACCACTTCCAAAGACTTTGTATACTATATTATTATTACAATTCTCACCCTGATAGTTCTTTATTTTGTCCAAACAAGGAAACATTAATATTTTCCAATGATTTAGAAGCCTGAGTCCTGGTTTTCGAAAACAAATAGGTACTGAAATCTCTAAATCCTCTTTCTGCAGTGAAATCAGGCTCTTTCATTTAGGGTATGACTGCAAGGTAAACTGAACAGATATTTTTCCTTGGGTACTGGGAGCACTGACTTGCAGCATCACTGGCCTCAGCATAAGCCTGTTTACTTGCTCATGTGCCCTATTGAGTTGGTGACATTGCTGAGAACAGTACGAGGTTGCTTCTGAAGATGAATTTATGTTCCTACACCAGTAGCAGATTAGTGAAGTATGTGAGTGGAATGTGGAAAGGCAATACATTCACTGCAGGATTTTTAATCATTACTCTGTCATAATAGGCAGAGTTTGTAGACCTCTAGCAGACATTGCAGCACTGCTCACAATGTGTATTACTACTCAAGCCACCATAGTAATTTAAGGTCTATTCTGCTACCAAATTATTTCTGTGGAAATCAGCATCATACAAGCTGACCTTAAAAAAAAAAAGGAGCAAAAAAAAAGTCCCAAGTCAAAAAGAACTGCTCTAGTTAGAAGATTTTTAAAAGCTTATAAATAAGAGTTGCTTTTATTTACACTTTCATCCTGCAAGTTGACTTGAAAGAGAAGATGTTTGTTGCTCCTTTCTAAAACCTCTGTGTGAGGTAGAAAGAAGGACTAACCATCCTTTTCAGTGGAGTCACCTCTTTTCATATGAATTGAAGACCTTTGCCTTTTGCCTTTTCAAACATGTTGTCCTTGTTTATAGCTTGAAAAACATCAAATTTTCCCATTTTTTCCCTGAAAGAATGATTCTTCCCTTTGGAAAATCCTGAGAGCTGGTGAGTCAACAACCTGTGTTGCTCAGAAAAGTCAAAAAGAACTGCCCTAGTTAGAAGATTTTTAAAAGCTTATAAATAAGAGTTGCTTTTATTTACACTTTCATCCTGCAAGTTGACTTGAAAGAGAAGATGTTTGTTGCTCCTTTCTAAAACCTCTGTGTGAGGTAGAAAGAAGGACTAACCATCCTTTTCAGTGGAGTCACCTCTTTTCATATGAATTGAAGACCTTTGCCTTTTGCCTTTTCAAACATGTTGTCCTTGTTTATAGCTTGAAAAACATCAAATTTTCCCATTTTTTCCCTGAAAGAATGATTCTTCCCTTTGGAAAATCCTGAGAGCTGGTGAGTCAACAACCTGTGTTGCTCAGAAAAGTCATCCACGGAGCTCCAAAAAACCCAAGGTGTACTGGTTTTGGCCGTCTAGCACTGGTTGGTTGATCTGAGCTGGGTGGTGAGGAGAGGGCTGAGCCCAGTGGCGTCCCTGGTGTTCCCGCTGCTGGTGGTCCTCTGGGACAGAGCACCAGCCCACCTACACTGTCAGTCGTACCCTGGCTGGCTGGGTTAAACCTGGGGCACAGCCTTCGGGTCCTGTAGGATGAATTGATCAACTCTTTCCTTCCTAAAACCAGCTTCCAACTCAGATCTTATAGTGATAACACAGTCCTATGTCTCTGATATCACAGTGGGGGTAGAGGGATGCCAGAACTTGCAAGTAAGACATTGCTGAATGGTTTGGGTGGGATATTTGGGAGCCTGGTAGGATCTTGCTGGCAAAACTTCCAGTGATCTTAAGGGAAAACTTAGCTTGACAAAAGAGTGCAGGATTAGCCTGTAATTAGCCAGACAATAGAGAAATGAGCAGGAAAATAGGGGGAAGTATAAACCAACTTTATAAACATATTTGAAGAATTTGCAGAAATGCAGAAATGCAGAAAAATTGCCCTCTGTACTTTGCAAAGGTCTTTGACCCTTGCCTTCTCTGAAGGTTCAAAGTTAAAGTTGAATCTTAGAGCTACAAAAGCTGTAACTGTGACTGACATAAAGATCCATGAGATAAGTAGAAAATGTTTAATAAGGCTTAGTGGTACTCATATTACATTTTTTTATGCTGTGAACTCAGCCTGCCAGGAAGCACACAGGTAAAATAACACATTTGTGGTAGCAGGAGATGCTGAAACGATGCTGAGGTCACACATTTTACCAGTAGTCCTATGGTGCCACACTGTGGGTTGGACTCTCCCTCGTCACTATGTCTTCTCACCAGCATCTTTGCTGCAACAAGCTCTTTTGGTTTCTTCTCATCCTTTCAGCTTCCATGCGCTCCATCCACAAGGTTAACTTCTGCAGTCAAAAAATTAAAGAAAACGTTTCTTAAGGTAAGAGCAGGAGGCCTGGCTCCCAGCTGCAGTGTTCAAGGGCTGCAGGTTGGTTTTTTTCTCATGTCTGTATTTTCTTGACAGCTTGGAGAGAAGGGAATCTACAAGGCCATCAATGAGCTGGATATTCTCCTTCCCTGGATTCAGGCCTACATACAAACTATCATATGAAGAATGAGGAAGTGGCAGAAAACACGCTGCTTCTGCGCTATGGACAGATCCTTACCCAAAAGGCCTGAAAATCAACCAAGAGCCGGACACACAACGGGCCTGGCAGTCACTCTGTCCTACTGAAGGAGAGCCTCTGTAATACAGTGGCGTAAAGAGGGATTTTCAAGAGCTTTCACGGTTGGCCTGGCATAGCAGCTGTGCCTGTCCTGCAGTACGACAGCAGCCTCCAGAGCAGTTACTGCACGATGTACTTCTTGTCCTGCCTGCCAGCTGCCTCGCAGGCAGAGCCCTGGAAACATTACACGAGCATAACTTGAAATCTGCTACCGTGTGGATCAGGCACCACCTCCCATATGCTGTGGGCACGACCTAACCATGCCTTGTGTCTTGGGCCACCACGTGTGATTACAATTCAAAACAACGAGGACCACTTTTGAAAAATCCCTCCCCTAAGCGACACTTTTTTTTTTTTTTTGGTTATAGCTATGTAGCAGCATACACAAGCTGTTCTACATATAAATAAGAAAATTAATTATATACTGCTTATCATTATTATTAATTTAAGGTAATAATTGATCCTTAATAAACGTACTCAAATTCATGTCAAAAAATTTGGTCTAGGACTCATGCATGACTCAGATGTCACACGCTTTATACGAGACCACACAATGCAGAAAACAATAAATGGATTGCCTTTGACTAGGATTGCAAAATGGTTTGAGGAAGATTTATGGTAAGTTCTTACTCAAATGATGCTAGCGGTTTTCAAAATATCTTTCATATAGTACAGAACGAAGATGGAGTTCTGGTTTTGTCACATTTTACAGTTTTGCCAGAAGAAACTATCTAGGTGATGAAAATATTCTCAGTCTGTATGTTTGCACTTCCACAGGGGTGAGATTCTTCAAAATTTCAGATCTCATAGTGCTAATATATCAGAGGCATTGAATACATCTGTGTGTTGGCACCAAAGATCCTGAGCCAGATCCTCATCTGCGTTGTGGCCTTTTGCAGCCCAGGGGTGGTGGCTGTTCTCTGACAGGTGATCTTTTGGTTCCAGGGTCCAACTACATGTGCTCTCTGAAGAGCCTGTGGTCAGTGCACCTTCATTTTTATTCCTTCAGGGACCACTCAGAAACTCTCTGGGTTCCCCACACATGTGATAGCTTGAGAAGTAGGAGGCTCACTCTTGAACTCACAAAAGTGCCACCACTGCTGTTGGTGGGCTGTTGATCTTCATCCAGGTGAATTGTTAGTGGCTGGTGAGGGTTGAGGGGAGAGAAGAGCATCATTTCTTCTTTAAATTTGCAAATCACTGGATGCCCAGCATCCTGGAGGGGAGAAAGTATGAAGCTTAGGAGTGAATACAGCTTGGGACCTCCGTCTGTTGGTATCAGAACTATGTGCTAGCCTATACTCCAACAGCTCCTTGCAAACCCACCTCACCTCTTCTGGCCCACAAACTGTGTTTGACTTGTCCTTTCTGATACCCCAGAGACCTGAAGCATGGCTAGCTTTCTTTTCCAGCTTTTTCCATAGCTTTGCAACACACTGCATCGGCACTGGCAAAAGCCAAAGAACAACAATATTAAATTGCAATGAGGAAGTTACTCATTAGCACCCCCTACTTCATTAAAAAAAAAAAAAAGGAAGCATGCCATCAGTTTGGAAACCTTCCAAAACATTCAGCAAATCTCAGCGACAGCAGCTTCTGATGACAATACACTGTTTTTAAGCATTGGTGCTTTATATAACAAATGGTCTCAGACAGTTGCAAAGGCTTATCTTCAAAGAGAACACAAGGCAATTTCTTTACACTTAATGGTTAATATGAAGAACAGTGGAATAAAGACACTTCGTGCTTTTCAGCACAAGCAATGGCCTGTCATATCATCTGCTTTATAGTTTTGTATTCTAGCAATTAACATCAAGGAATTATATTTGTTACATGTTGAGATATATGACATTTTTCCGTTAAAATACAATGGTGGATGCTCTTTGGAAATGTCACTGACTGACTATGGTGCCAGGGCAGCAATAACAGCAATAAACACTTTGTGTGCTCAGTGTATTCTGGAGTTCAGCAGTCAGTGCCACAGCACTGGTACAAATCTTTTGCAGGGGCCTCTTGATGTCCCTGTGTTGACTTCAGTCATCGCATATTAAACATCCCAGTTCAGAGAAGCTGACTAGGTGCGCCTGTTAATGCATTAGGATAAACACTGGAGATGTTTTAGTCCAACACTTATGTAAAGGAATATTCATAGAATTATGGAATGGTTTAGGTTGGAAGGGACCTTAAAGATCATTGAGTTCCAACGCCTCTGCCATGGGCAGGGACACCTCTGACTAGACCAGGTTACTCAAAGCCCCATCCAACCTGTCCTGGCCAACATGACCAACGTCGGCTTGCTGGGTCAGAGCAAATATCTAACTAATACAAGGGGGTAACAACTTAAAACACATTTTTTTCAGTTAAAACCAAAGTGGTTAATTAGAGGCACAGTGCCAAAGGTGGTACATTTAACATTGTGGTCTTTTTCTTACCAGGTAGTTTCTGTTTGCCAAGCATTTTCTTCTGTTGTTATGATTTCACCTGATTATATGTATCCAACAGGTTTGGTAAAAAGAAAAGCTGACTTGAAGAACTTTTAAAGGAGGAAAAAATCCAACAGTGTTTGCAATGGACAATTCTCAGGTAAATTCCATTTCTCATTACTCTTCCGAAGATGGAAGACCAGTTATGCTGACAAAAGGAAATAGAATACATGAATGAACCAATGTTACTTCCCACATAAGTACTCAGATGGTGGCTGAGAGCTTTCCTATGCCGACTTCATGTTTTTTGACCTGTATCATTTTCACATCGTCTCTGATCTCCAGCTTCCTCAGCCATTAACATGAAAGGAGAGAACTCAGGAATATTCTACCCAGGTGAACATAGTAGGAGTAAAAGAGAAGAGTGAGAATATTTCGTAAGAAAAATTCAGTTGCAAACTGTCCTGTAATAGCTATATCAGTAAATATTTCTCAATGCTTCCCCCCTCCTCCCCTCAAATCAACCAACCAACCAACCAACCAAAACAACCAACCATAAAAGGTCCCAAGCAGTGAGGAATATATCATATATTAAAATTGTTTCTAATACCTTGGCACTATAAATTTAAACGTGTTCATTGTGAAGCATAATAGATATTCCTGACAAAAAAATGTTCTTAGGCATATAGTTTCTTACTCTGGGAGACAACAAACCTAATATGCCATCCTACACGGTGACTTTAAATTTGACAGGGACTGGCCAATCCAGAGCATACATGGAGTAACATACAAAAGGCTCAGGCAAGGCAAGCTGCCCTATGCTCCTTGTTCCAGAGGAATACTATCTCCAGCTGAATGCCTTGCATGTTTAGCAATGACACACAGATTTAATCCTCTTTTTTATTAGTAGCATTGTAGAGTTATGTTTTATTATTTCATTATTTGCTATTTTATTACTGGAGGGAGTTGCAGTATATGACACACCAGGCTTTGTTGAAGTACCTTACTAGGCAACTGTATTTTATTTGAGCAAATGATGTTATAAAACAAAGTCTGAACATAACATTCCTGGCTCTGAGAAATCACTTCCAAATTATTTAGATCTTACTGAATTTCTTTTTTTGGAATACTCTTCTTACACAGTAAAATGACGCCTAGGAAGCTAACCAAAAGCTGGTTGTTGCCAAAATAGTAGATTCAGGAAGAAGAAACAGGGAAATCCAGCCCAGTGCTTTAATTAAGAGGAGGCTGCAGAGACCAGGGCAGTCACAGGACCCCACCGTCTGAGAGGGCAGGACCCATCCTGGCCACACATGGCTGGAACAGGAGCCCTGAAGGTTTCCTGGGGTGCAATGCTAGTTCCAGGGTAAGCTGGGCAACGGGGGGGGACCCAAGAAAAGGGAGGTGTAACTGGCTGATAGTACATTCACTTGCTCACCCCTAAGAGCATGACTGTTGTTTCAAACATTTGCTCTGCAGACAAAAAACTGCATCAAAACCCCACCATCCTGTGGAGTCAATATTCAACATCAGCTTGCAGGCTCAGGGCCAATCTCTAACAAATAAAAAGGAGCTATAACTCAAAATATATTTTTTTTCAATTAAAACCAAAATGGTTATTTAAAGGTACAGTGGCCAAGCTGGTACATTTAATGTTGTGGTCTTTTTCAAGAGTGTAATTTAATTTTCAGTTAACATGGTGTCCTTTTTTGAGGATTTGTTCATACAGCTCATCCATTTATTTGCAAGGTTTAAGTTTGCTTTCTGCTTTAGTGGCTTTTGTCTAAACTCTGATGTACGGAATAGAAAACTGACCACGGGCATGGCCTCACCAACCTTCATCAGACATCATTGTCCAGTCCTTGCTGCTGGCAGGGAGCAGTAGCCAGGATTTGGGGGCTCAGCGCAGGGGCCCCATGGCTGCAGGAGTAGGAGTGGGTGATGCTTCTTGGGCATAGAAGGGAACCACTGGCATCTGCAAACGGAAGAACTTCCACATTTAGTTCAGAAGACCATGGGTAATGTTTTCAGGTTGCTGAAAATTTTTCATGTGGAATTTTTGCTCAGCTACCACATCTAGTCAGTGCGATTTTCAGGTTGGTGGGTTTTTTGTGGTTTGTTTTTTTTTTTTTTTCCTTTTTTTCTCCCCTCAAGGATTTACAAAGGTAGGAAAATAATAACTCCAGAAGCTGTCTACAATGATTGTGTTTGGATTATTTTTGTCTTCTGCTGTACTAAGGTGGGTATGAGCTCCATGGCTATAAATAATTTCACAAAATGAACACTGCTGCCTGTTGTGCAAAGGGACGCAGAAGTACACAGGCGAGACACAAAGAAGCAGATGAACTTTGAAATAGGCCTAAGTGGATGAG